AGACGATGCGTAACGTATAAAAAAAATATATTTATTATTATCACTATTTAAACGCCTGGAAAAACTTAACGTAGCTAAAATTCGATTTTTAATCGTCGTAAATTTACGAAAAAATACTAGTGAACTCTATCGTACGGCGTTTTGGTCGTCGACGGCTGGTGGAAGCGGCGAAGGGATTCATCAGCGGCAAAAGGGTTGTATGGGCCAATGATAATTGAAGTATCGCAGATTAATTCACGATTCCTCGTTATCCAAACACTCGGTAACCAGATTTTGTTTGCAGACAAACAAACCGACTGCACAGTTCAATTTAAACGCGCAGTACATAACTAACTGTTATGTGTATACATTCGACCCTATGAACTCTATCCCTACGTAGATGTGTATAAAGTAAATTTCACAGAGCGGTTTGCATAATAACGTACACAATATCCTGTTTCCAGTGGCAAACGACGTTATTATACAGTTTCACAAGTGGATTCTTCCTCCTTGTGCAGGACGTCTGGGTGTAAGAACTAATAATCCGTTTGGGCGCCACAAATCCCTTATTTGTTCTCGGGGAGAATCTCATTCTTATAAATTTATTTTCGCTTCGACAACAGTGCATTTTTTTTTTTTTGTACAAACACATAATGAAACAAAATTAGAATTTTCCAATAAAAATAGACCGTTTATTTATTTATTCGGCAAGTTCGATCAAAACGTACAAGTGTTGCGTATTAACAACGCCATAAATAATAAATTATTTAAAAGAGTGCGGTAACTGTAATAAAACCTCATAACGTATACTGTTTTTACGGTATTATGTAAACTATGAAGTATCGTTCGAGTAATTTAGGAGGGTCTCGGTGTTTTTACATCGGGTGTAATTTATTATGGAGTATATTTATGATACGGCTAGTGTGTTTTTGTTAGTGTAATTTCCTAGGGTTAGTTTAATACGACAACAAAAACGTACCGTTAAACACAATCTCCTAGTTCATTGTGTGCGGTTAATATGAAAATTATAGCCTTGTAGCTATTTGGGAGAGATTTTTTAACAACCGTATGAACGATAACAATATTAGAAAATCTCTTAGTTTCTGCTCTACAACGTCGAGCTATCGTCATCTTAAATTAACGTACGATTATTTAATTTATGGAAATTGTGATAATAATGACAACCCTTAGAATTATTTTCTTGACGATATACTAAGCACGATTCAATTTCAAAAAACACCAGACTCGTTGAAATAAAATACTATCATCAGTGTAAGGTCATCTTAATCAGCATCGACGTATACATTAATACAAAAGACAATTTATTGCGAAATACTTAAAAAAACTCATTGATCCGTTTTAGAAAATAAATTGTCAGTTGCATGATGATCGGGAAAATGTCATCGTTCGGTGGACCTTTTTTACCGTTGCCAATGTTTCATAAACTAACAACGGCTGGTGTCACTAAATCTATTAACTGGAATTGAGCTTTCACATAAATTCTCGGGGCGCATAATGACGTTATGTGTTAATATATTCGATTATTTCGCACACGACCCATCGCACCGCGTCAGTTGTCTCTCGGTCGATGACTTTAGGTATTCACAAAAACCGGATGATTGACACCGGACGAGGGCGGCCAATAAAGATAACTCTCAGTCGGATGACTCTGCGGACGACCGGATACAATAGGGCAAACTGGTAAATTTTTTGACGTGCATTGTGTACACACTCACAGCGGAGAAGACCCGTACGGGGCTCAGGAGCAGATGGCCAGTAGTCTCGCAGACCATAGAGAGCGACGCGTTACGGTTCACCAGAAACGCTGCAGAGACCTAACGGTTGGGTTCGACGGTCCCGCATGAGGAGACGTCCTGTTACAAAAACTGGGGCGCCCGAAACGGCCCAAAACGACGAGTACCTAAACAGCAGCTCTCGTAAACGTCACAAATGAAAAACGGCACCAACGACTTGTGCTGTTTTGGCTCGTGTGATCTTTGGCCATGTCGACTGCTGATTTATACGTCAACAGATACGTTCCTTTTCGACATTATATTTATGACAACAATGTGCTCACAACCGTTTTTGACGTATTTCGCGTTCCGTCCGTCATCGAGACCAATAAATCACACGACAATATACACACAAAATGCTGATTTGTTCGTGTTGGTTAAAAGTGTAATTTTCTGTCGCCCTTTTCGCAAAATGTATTTTTCAGTTAATCAGGTCGAACACGGAAATTGTTTCGTTACAACAGTAATCTATAACTTTTTACGTTAACCCTGTCAATCCAGCGCACAATGTGTGCTATCTTTAGTTAAATCATTAAAAACTTTTTACACGTGTCCGTTACTTTATTGTTGTTGCTAATGCAGTGTATTATTTTATTGTAATTTATACTTTTATGTTTCATGTTCATAGTGGGTTATTTTAAAAATCAACTGGACAGCTAAAAAAATAACAAAGGGTATTTAGGGTTTATAATTAAAGTATTAAATTTTTGTACGTAATGGCTAAAATGTTGATGATCTACAGTATTAAATGTAAATTATTTGATAAAATCTCGTATTTTTCGTAGTTTGAAAGAAATATTCTTTAACCAGATTTTCAGTGGTAATATGTGTCGAGCGTTTGTTTTTATTATGATATAAGTAGCATTAAATTTAAGTACTTAGCAGCGAGGAAAACATGAACCATCTGGAATTTGAAAAGCACATAGATAGGGTTAGAACTCTGAGTGGATTATAGGTTGATAATAAAGGGTGACACACAGAGATTTATTTAATTCCTTTAGGCACTCGTCACCAAACTGTCTTTTAATGTACTGTACCGAAGTAAGTTATTTGATCTAATTATTACAACCCAGATAATCCCTGAAACATTGACTCGTAGAAACAAGCGCACTCGTTCAAATATTCAATGTGCTCACCCTCTTGGTATAATAGTATTAAATCTAGTTCGTTTTTACTGCGNACAACCCAGATAATCCCTGAAACATTGACTCGTAGAAACAAGCGCACTCGTTCAAATATTCAATGTGCTCACCCTCTTGGTATTAAATCTAGTTCGTTTTTACTGCAAAACATTTAGACTGTATTTTCAACGCAAGTCAGTTTTTTTCTTCCCATTCACAATCTAGAAAAATCTATTAATATCCTTTTGATAATTTTACCAGATAGTATATATGAAAACAGCTGTTATTGCTTTCAAATAAATCATCAAGAAAATTTTTAATCTCTGATGGAGTGTAGATAATTATAATCGTACGGACATCGGAATGTATACAGCTTTTTTGATTTTAGGCCAAAATTTATACTTAAAAATAATTTTATAAGTAATCTCAACTTTATTTATTTTTATCTCAAATTAATATACATTTAATTTAATTGTCAAAACAAATATTTATCAACAATTTATTTAAAATAATTAAATAAATTAAATTTCCGCTTATTAATTTAACCGAGCTAAATTACTGAGTATTTAAAAAAAATTATTTACTTATTAAAAAATTGAGATAATTAGAATAACGTGAAAAAATAAACAATAATACTATAGCCTAGCTTATAGTTAATTATTATTATTTAATATATATAAACTTTAATCCATGTTGTCACTGTAGTATGCACTTAGAAAAAAAACATAATAATATTGGTCAAATTTTGTCTTAAATACTGCTAAATAGAATGTAAATCCTGGATAACTTAAGTGCAATATAATTTTTTTTATAAATCATCGGTAAGGTTACAAATAAAATTATCAATCAATAAATAGATTGGCTACCTGAAATAATTAAGAGTTGCATTGAGTCATTCAAAGTAAATTTACATAATTTAACATCAATTTTTCTCATTTTTAAAATTCGTTATTATTTGTTAAATGTCAAGAATTTTCTTATGATTTAGATAAATAAAATATCTATATGTTTATTATTTTGTTAAAAAAAAATTGTTTTAATATTTATTGTCACCTTTAAACACATTTAATACGCATATTTTTTATTATTAATAAAAAAAAAAGATGCCTTGAACATAGTCTAAATAGACTATAATTATTTAAAAAAAGTCAACAAAATGATAATTTTATCAAATGTTAATTATTTTCATTGAGTACTGAGACACCTTGTATATTATATTCATACTTAAGAATTTTGATTAAACTAACAATATAATTTAATACGTCAAACTGAACACAATCAATTCACTTTTTATAATAGTTTCCACTACTTTTACTTATCTTCCGTCAAAATTAGGTATACCTACTGATAAACATTCATTAACTATGCACTAAATTAGTTATACAGTTCATTCAATTAAGAATATGCTTCATACAGCTTATTTGGGTACTTCTAATTAACACCTCACATGTCAAAAAATTCGCAATTTTTTTTTAAATATACTGCTAGCCGGCCGTCACGTAAAAAAGGCTTAAATATAATTTCTTTTTTAAAACCTTATTTTTATAGGATAATATACGAATACATTTACTTGTTTACCATTATAAAAATCTATGAACAATCATTAATTGTTACAAATTTTATATCGTAATAATATTATTATCATTCATTTATCTATTTATTTTTAAGATCCAAAATAAATAAAATAATAATAATAATTTTACTTAGTTAGACTCATTAGCTAAACTCATAAAAATAAAAGAACAGCGCTGATATTTCTAGAAACCNTAAAAATAAAAGAACAGCGCTGATATTTCAAGAAACCTTTTAATATTTCAGCTTATAATCGTTGTAATAAATTTCTCCAAAACTAATACTTAGTAACACGTTAATAATTATGCAATAAAAATATATTTTATAGTTAGCTTAAAAAAAAACTGTTAATTGTTCTGACATATCCGTAGAAACAAAATCAACTTTTAAACAACTCACGTATATGTTTTTATTTCAAAATTAGTCACTCNTTACACAACTCACATATATGTTTTTATTTCAAAATTTGTCACTTCGCTTCCTAAGCTCAACATTTTAGTAACAAATTGTGAATTCTTATAATAAAGTCGCTACAATGGGTAACATTTTTTCTTTCGAGTCTATTAATTTAGAACAATCAAAACAAATAAAACCCGATGATATTGAGACTTGTGATATTTCAAACAAAAAGAAGAATGGACTTGGTTGTGAAAGGGACGTCATAAATCAAGAAATGGATCAAGACTGTGCTCAATTACTCGTACAACCAATTCCAGTATTTGTCATAAAAACTCGCGTGAACGACATTAATGGAAAATCCAATTTAAGAGTGTTTATAAACATTTGTTATAATAATGAAATTGGAAAAGCATCATGCTCCTCTGATATTAATAAAAACGATTGGTGTATTCCAAATTGCATTTCACCAAGACGTTATATAAGTGATTCGAAAAATAATCTAAATTGCATTATTGACGTAGTTTTTCACACCGACTTTGTTCATTCAACTGCCCTGAGTAATGAATTTAAAGATTTTGTCAAAGATGCAGCTCTAAAATCTATCGAGAATAGTTATAATATTGTTTTAGATAGAGACTTCGTTAAATACTCTAAAAAGAGTGTATTCGGTGTGGTTAAGCCGATTAAAATTGAACCATTAAATAACGTTAGCTCTTTTATTTCTGATCTTCAAGATAGTTCCACACAAACACTTGATTTGGCTGATCTCGAAGCAACATCTTCATTTATTTCACCGTCGTATACAATCAAATATCGTTCAGGAGCTAATATTCTTGATGTAAACGATGATGAACTGCTTAACTCGATGCCAACTTTGAATTTGAATGAGATTATAATTGAAATTGATTTACCATTACTAGAAGATTCTAAAAACATTGACTTAACAATTTTAAAAAATGTTTTGAAGTTAGTTTCTACAAGTTCTGCATGTTATAAACTAAATATTAATATACCGAGCTTCGCTTCAGTAGATAATGCTACTGGTGTATTTGATACTGACGAGAAAAGGCTAACCGTGTGTCTTCCTGTTTTAATAGCAACTAAATTCATAAATGACATCGAAACTAAAGGTGTAATAGATGATGTAGATAAAGAACCTACAATAGAAAATACTGAGGATAATTACAACGGTACTTGTAATTTTGAAAGTTCAGTTACATCAACTTCAGACAAATTATTGTCTAATAATACGAATGGTGAAAATATGAACTCATTTGTTGTAACAACCGACTGCAAGGCAAATAATGTTTTTAATGATGAAATTTGTCTTGACAAAACTAATATGAAATTCACTGAAAATATAACCTTACCGTCGGAAAATAATTCTGAAAAAGTAGCTGATAAAAATGCAGAGTCTGAAATTCGGAGTATTGTTTCTGTGGAGTTTAACACAGATGAATTTNTGTTTCTGTGGAGTCTAACACAGATAAATTACTGTTGAATAATACGGAATGTCATGAAACTAATTTACATGATGTAACTGCAAGCAATTACAAAGAAAATAATATTTCTAATGACATTCATTATAGCAAAACTGATATGAAATACACTGAGAGCGGCACACTTCTGTCTAACCGTAAATCCAAAAATCAATTTTATAAAGATGCCAAATCTAAAGTTCAATACATTCCTTCTGCTGTTTATGACAATACAGTCAACAAAGTAAGCTTTTTCAACGAATAAAATACTTTTAATTAGATAACATTTTTTTTTTCATTTCATTATAAATTATTTTATTTTTTATAAGTATTTCTTATTATGTATTAAATTGATTTTTTGTAGAGAGGAGTATTGAAAAAAAATACTGCAGACTGCAAAATCAATTCATCAGATAATATAAACAATAACAGATCTTATGATACTAATCAAAAAAAGGCCGTTCGGTTTAATGAATATGCCGTCGTTAAAGAGTTTAAGTATGCTTTAATAAATCATATATAAATAGAATAATAAAAAATTGTAATTGTTATTGGGGTGTAAGGTACTTCATAAAAATATAGCTTTAACTTAGAATTAATTTTTTTTTTTGACAATAATTATTGATTATGAATAATGAACTTTATTGAATTTTTTTTAGCGGTAATTTGAGCTTGACAAGACAAGTAAAAAATTATCAATGGCATCGAGAATTCAAACGTTGGACAAAATATTAAATTTATGTAAATTATATTTTCATTTTCATTTGTTAATTATTGTTTAAAAAGTTTTTGTTTTATTTTATTTAGTTTGTTAAGTTTTGTTCTAATAAAAATTACTTATGTTATAAAAAATGCATTTAGAAGTGTTTTATAAAAAAAATTTGGTAGTTCCGACATGTTAACAACGTGAACGTTAATATTTGTGATGAGATTTAAATAAAACATATCGCAGTCGCGTAATTAAATCATTATATGATTGCATACAAATAGAATAATAATAAAATAGTGGTTCCATAGAATCATTTTTTATAAACATTGTATGAAGTGTGAACTAATCATTCGTGTTTTCAGTGTTTTTATAATGCAAAATAATTAAACAAAAATTTCATCAAATTTGTGTGATCATAGATCAAACAAATTTAAAGGTTCTAAAAAAAAATTATAACGAAAAGATAACAAAAATAAAAAACTTAAAATGTTTTTATGATTACTTCTGGTGGATTTGATTTGTTGTATAACATAATTTGTGTCGTGTAATTACATATAAACATGTAGGCGACATGCATATAAAATAACTATACTATTTTTAATTTAAAATAAATGGCATGTTTTTTCAATCAAAAGTGACCAGTTAAATTTCAAGTTACAGCTTATCAATTATGAGTCGATATTTTTCAATCACGGCATTTTTAATTTTTANATTATGAGTCGATATTTTTCAATCACGGCATTTAAAATTTTTTTCAATAAAATGGATAGATTCATTTTTAAAAACAATGATATTTTTATTTCCGAGTAAAAATATTACACTAAAAACATGGAAATACAATAAATTTTTTAGTTTTCACGTTGCAAAATGTTCGAATAAAAATGAATAGACGATTTAAATATGAAAAACTACTCTAAGAGTAAGATTATTCGTTTTAACACCACTCAGATCCGTTTTAGAGATGAGCAGTATTTGTAAAAAATAAATATAATACCAGGTCCACCTGATGAATATTTAACCAGCATTCATCATCTGATTAATTATGATGCACTGGCGATATTCACCCAATGATAGCATCGGCATTCATCATACATATACTGCATATGTGTTTTAAAACAATTAATCATTAGGTTGGGATGTCGTGTGTGTGCAGTGAGGAGTATATATTTAAATAACAGACGTGGATTTGCAGCAGGTACCGATCGTAAAACGGGTCATTTGTCCGCATGTCGATTTTTCCCTGAAAATCTCGTATTTCACAATAGTATATTGTTTATTTCCTCCCTAAAACAGATAGTACGTTANGCAGTGAGGAGTATATATTTAAATAACAGACGTGGATTTGCAGCAGGTACCGATCGTAAAACGGGTCATTTGTCCGCATGTCGTTTTTTCCCCGAAAATCTCGTATTTCGCATTTGTATATTGTTTTTTTCCTCCCTAAAACAGATGGTACGTTTCTTTGGCATAGTACACGATATTATACACAGATAAAAACGCATAGAAAAACAATGATTATTACCATCAATCGGAATAACTGACTCGGCAATAATGTGTACACAGACACACGGGGGGTGATAACAAAAATATTACAATTTTTTGATAATCATTCGCTTACAATTCTTGTACGATACTACGAAAATATTATAATTTCGCATGTCCAAGTGTGGTTGCAGCTGCTGCTGTTCTGAGTCCTNATAACAAAAATATTACAATTTTTTGATAATCATTCGCTCACAATTTTTGTACGATACTACGAAAATATTATAATTTCGCATGTTCAAGTGTGGTTGCAGCTGATGCTGTTCTGAGTCCTCCTCCGCTTTCGGATATTTCACTGTATGTATTTATACAAAGGGGTGTGAATTGAAACGATAGCCTTACACACTCATACGATTGTTCAGCGGTGCTAACTAGCCACGCGACGTCTCTTCTTCTTGTCCCCATCCGATTCGGTCCAATCGACTGGAAATTTAATACTGTAAATTATTACTATTATTATTATNAACTAGCCAAGCGACGTCTCTTCTTCTTGTCCCCATCCGATTCGGCCCAATCGACTAGAAATTTAATACTGTAAATTATTACTATTATTACTATTATTANGACTGGAAATTTAATACTGTAAATTATTACTATTATTATTATTTATTTATTTTTTTTTACATGACTCTGAAATCCAAAAACAACGTTTTCGTATCAAACAGCTCGGAAAATTTAACTTTTGTCTACTAAATGTGTACTTATTGCGGCCTTACACCTTTTATTATTATTATTTTTTTTTTATTACAGTTTTGCAATAAAATTGTGTAGACACTACACTCGCATTAGTACATAAGGGAATATATACGGTGTAATCAAATAAAAAATAGAGAAAAGTGTTTGATTTTATCCGACACAATTGCCCAAATCACCGAACAGACTTCGGGGTCGTGTTATTGATGAGCGCGGACGATAAAAGTCGATAAATCCGTTCGAAACGGATGTTCGGCTCCAAACTGGCCGACAAATCCTTGTAATACATTGACAAAAACTATAGAGATATAGTGTATACAAGGGCGTTAACCGTGTTTTTTTTTTTTCATTAAACATAATATTATATTATATAAATAGGTGTAGATTAAACGAGGTGCGGTCACATATCAAGGCTTGTTTTTATTTAACTAAAGTATTTTTCGGTGGTTTTAAAGTTTTATCGAAACATAAAATCGGATTAACATTGATACGAAATAAAGATAATAATTGTAATGACTCATTGTCATTATAAAATAAAACAATCATTTGATACTATGATTTACCGAAAATTACAAAATTTAATATAGTAACTTCTCAAAATATCAACTTTATGTACCCCAAAAGGCCATTAAATTTAAGCCATGTATTATCTACGATAATTAATAAAAATTGTTTATAAATACAATTGAGTCTTTTATTAACGTTTTAATCAATCGAAAAATAAATTATCAATAATAAATAACGAACTTGTTTACTATTTAATACTATAAGAGCAATTCTTTTAACATTGACCACTTATTTAATTGAAAAATAAATCATATACAAGACATTATATTATTGAAATAAAAATGTTTATATAAATATAATATGGTATCGTATTGAGAATTTTAATTTTGAGATTTCCTTTAGTTCCACGGTTTTCTCAATATAACAATCATAAAGTATTTTTTATGATCATCTTTATAAATTATAAAAGTATCGCCTTTAATTTTTCAAATTTGGACCAGTATTTTAAGTTATGACGATTTTAAAATGAAGTTTGAAAGAGAAAGACTACATTATTATAAAGACCGTATGACTATTTTTATCACTCAGATAGACTTCAACAATCGTCTAGATAAAAATGTTTATAAGTTCCGAAATACTGGTTCAAAAATTGTAATAGACCAATCATTTTCATAAGTAGACAATTTTTTATTAGTATATGAGCTAGTTAAATATATGTGTTACCGTTTGATAAATTTAAGTTGGAACCCTTACAATTTACAAGGAATGAACATAAAAAACATTTTAGGATTAATAAATTGATAAAAACACGGAACTAAAATAAATCAGAAGTAAAATTCTCAATATGATAGGATATCATATTTATATAAATATATTTATTATAATAATACACACAATTTATATGTATTTATTTTTCGATTAGTTAAGTGGTCAATGTTAAAAGAATCACCTAGTATAGTATTCAATAATGAACAATCAATTCGACAGATCGATAAAAAAGTATTTTTTAGACATTTTATGTAAAATAATTTCCGAAATAATATTGATTTTGTATACACTATATTATTTATGTAGTAGTAGGTACGTCACAAAGAAGGATATGTCCCCAAAGACATCATCACAGACTGAACTTCTTAGGAAAACTTTCAATCCTTTCATTTTGAATTTCTGGATATACTAAATTACTATCTAATATCCCCTTAACATGACACGGTAAAGTTAATTGTTTGGCATGTTTTCTACGGATTATTATAGCGATCGACTTGAAATTTGATTCATGTCATACATTCAAACATGAAATACTGTGGAATTTCATAAATTCTTCGTTTTATTCCACAACGCGACCGACTTTTTTTAATGATTCGGCGGTTGTTTCCTCTTTACCTACGCCGTGATGGATTTTAATGGTTTAAATATATTTTGTTCGACTCATTTTGCAGTTTCCCAATAAACACCACGTACTCCTTGACACGGCAATGTACGCAACGTTGTATGTCGTACGCGTTTGTTGATCGAACACTCCATTTCCGACGTCACGCGTTCGGTGTGTGCTCACCTCCCCTACACTCGTCGCAGCTCCGATACCGTCACCGAAATCTTATTATTGTTGTGCGCTCCGGGTTCGGTTGGCCCGCCGACTTCAAGTGGCCACTTGTCTTCGGCGGTCGTTGTTGTTGCGGCGGTGCCTTTGACGCCAGTCGCGAGACATCACCACCGCACACTTCTCTGCGCTACGGTATTCTCTTCTGTACACATCAGAACATCCGTTCTGCACAAGAGACGCACAACAAAACACACACAAACAGCGGCGTCTTTTGCGTACGCCACTCCTCGTAACAAAAACTGTATGTGTGTAAATACCGAGACACCGGTGAAGTACTTTATATTTAGGAACTTGTGTTCAGATGTCGTCGACTTCTCTTGCGTCAGTGCCGTTTGACACGACCAAAACGATCGATTGGCGTTTTTATTTTCAATATTTCAAATACTATTTGGTCACGTCTCTGGACGTGTTTATGCCCAACAATAGAGTTCTTATACTAACAAACATTATCGTCGCTCACTAAAATACTAATTACACGAAAAAAAGAAGATTGACACACAAGTAAAGGAGCCTCTTAAGAGTATTAGTAGTACTAAAGCTGTTCTTTTTATTTCTATGCCAACCGACTACTCGGTCAGTTATCTTGACATACCGCGCCCGCACATTTTGACCATGTAGATCTAAATTAGTATGGTCCATAAAATATAATACCATTTATTTTAAACACATTTATATTAAGATTGGCACTACGAATGAAAATTATATTATAATCTTGATTAATAATTTCAGTGAACTTTGATAATTGCAAAAATTAAGGTAATTTCAAAAAAACTTCACGATACCTAAAATTGAACGAGAATGCAGAAACCTCGCGAGTAATGCAAAACAATACATTTTTTATATAAAATTCTTTCAACGGATATTACTTAAAGTACGTCTAG